GACCATAAATGTAGACTGGGACAAAATGAGTTCTGAATCAACCCATGAGGCACACGCTCCAACACCTGCAGTACAGTTTTGTATTTTACTAATTCCCTCCATAGAAAATAGTGCTGTTATAAATATACATGTCAGATTGACTTATCCAACCCATAAACATTGGCAGGGTTATTCACTCAAGTGTGGTAGTATCATTAAAATTTAGCATCACTTGACATTTTTGAAACACAATAAACTTGTTTCTACTGATGAGGTATAGGGTACCACATTATGCAAATGTTACAAAAGGAATGCAGGAAACACATTTTACATACCAATGTTATGCTTAGTTTGCACATTAGATTATTCAAGGAATGATTTGCCTCCCAGAATTCATACAATCTTATTTACAGGAAATTAAAGTTTGATATTGTACTTTTTTTTTTTTTGTCTTTTTAAAGACAGAGTCTTCCTGTAGCCCTAGTTAGCCTGGAACTCACTATGTAGACCAGGCTGGCCCTGATCTCACAGAGATACACTTGCCTCTGACTCCTGAATGCTGGGATTAAAGGCATGAGACACCAGGCCCAGCTTCTTCTTCATTTTTGTTTTAAGCTTTGTAATTACATCTCTTTGGAAATCATAATTCCTTATTACAAAGCACTATTGAAGACTGGAAGATATTGAGAGGAGAAATACATTTCAGGAATGCCAACTAGCCAAGTGTGGTAGCTCACACATTCAATACCAGAACTCAGAAACCAGAGGCAAGCAGATCCCTGTGTTATCCAGTCCAGCCTCGTCTACATCAGGAGTTCCAGGCCAATTGGCCTTACAGGGAAAAAGTATCTCAAACTCCCTCCCCTGCTCAAAAGAAGAAAGCCAACTATGAATAAATAGCTTTTATTTGTGACTTCTATAAGCCTAAATCTCTTTTAGGCACTTTAAACTGATGCAATTGCACCACATTACAATCAGATGTTTTCCCTGTTTTGCCTGTGGGAAAAGTATCCTATAAAGCAGTGCAGTCAAGTTCCAAGAGATTCAGTTCCACTCAACCTGTATCCTCCTGTCTAAACAGTGAGCACAACTTTTTAAGATTTACTTTATTCTTATGTATTTGTGTGTCTCTGTATATGTATGCACATTAGTGGGTAGATGTCCACAGAGTCCAGAAGAGGGCATCAGGTTCCCTGGAGCTGGAGTTATATGTGGTTGCAGGTGCTGAAGACTGAACCCATGTACTCTGGAAAAGCATCTAGTGCTTTAATCCACTGAGCCATCTATTCAGCCATGATAGTGAGTCCTGGTAGACCCACTGCTTTCTATATTTATTACATGATATTCCATAGATCCATTGACTTTTTTTACTACTAATCTGTTGATTTAAAATTAATAGACAAATAATATTTAATAAAATGTTAAAACTTTAAAAGAAAAAAAAATTTAAATAACCTAAATTAAATACCTAGAAATTAATTTTTAGTCTAGGCTTTCCAAACTGCTTGTTAGTTTTAAAATATTTGTAATTATTCTTTGAGAATTTCACACAGTGTATTTTGATCATATTCAGGCCCATTCCTCCACTGTGACCTCCATCTTACTATCCTCACAATTCCATGTCCTCTAATTATTATTGTTTGCTTGTTATTTTTTGAGACAGGGTCTCCCTGTAACCCCAGCTGGCCTGGAACTCACTATGTAGACCAGGCTGGCTTCAATCTCACAGGAATCCATTTGCCTCTGCATCCTGAGTCCTGGGATTAGAGGTGTGCACCACCATGCCTTGCTTTATTAATAATTTTAAATGCCTATCAAGTCTATTTTTTCCTCAAATGCTCTTGGGTGTGGATTTGTCTCCTAGAGCCTGGTAAACCTATCTGGCATCACAGCCTTAAAGAAAAATGACTCTTCCCCTCCCAGCAGCTATCAATCACCATTAAATAGTTCCTGATCTGGGGCTGAGATTTCTTGCCCACCTCCCCCGTCAATACTGGATATTTGTCTAGCTAAGGCTTGTACAGGTATTGTACCTGCTGTCACAAGCACTGTAGGATCAAATATGCACCTGCCTTCATGTGTCTAGATGCATGATTTCCTTGTATTCATTCACCACCTCTAGCTCTTACAATATTTCTGCCCCCTCTTCCAGAAAGATCCCTGAGACTGGGAGGTGATATTTGTGACATAGGTGTTCAGTTTAGAGCTGAGCACGCCACAGTCTCATATTCTCTGCATGTTGATCTGTTGCTGCTCTCAGTGTTAATTGCCATCTGCTGCAAGCACATTTTCTGGTGAGAACTGAGAGAGACACTAATGTATGGGTATAGCAATAGGTCATTAGGTGTCAGTTTAATACTCTCTTAGCTGAATAATAGCAGGTTCTACCCTATGGTCTATGATATGTCTAGCCACAGGTTCTTGCCACTGATAACAGTGCCAGGTATGGGCTTCATCTTGTGGAGCAGGCCTTATAGTCAATCAAAAAAGTGGTTGGTTACTTCCCTAACAATCTTGCTGTTATTGCTCCAGTGGGCGCATCTTGCCGGGTCAATTGTTATTGTAGCTCACAGGTTCATAGCTACGGAAGGCAATGATTATTTTTCTCTTCTGGTAGCATGTATAGTACCTTTTAGTACTATGAAATCTAGCCAGTAGAGATGAAGCTTTGATATCAATTCCACCTTGATTTTTTCATTGTTTGTACCTTTATTCTCTTATGTAGTATCTTCAACAGTAGGATCTTATTGTTAAGTTCTGAAGGGTAAGCAAGAGTGATGGCAATAGCCAGTATTGTTTGGCAGTCTATGAGACATCTTGATCAACAACTCCAAACAAAGGTGTCCATTCCTGGCACTGCATTATTTATTGGCTAGCCAATGGTGTCTGGTTAAGGGTATTGTTCCTCCCAACCCCCTTTATGGGATAAATTCACTTTAACTCTTTTAATATTGCTCCTGTATACGTTATATGTGTGTATATATATATGTGTGTATATGTGTGTGTATGTTTTTTTTTCTTTTTGGGCCTTTTTGAGACAGGGTCTCCTTGTAGCCCCAGCTCTCAGCTGTCCTGGAACTCACTATGTAGACCAGGCTGGCCTTGAACTCACAGAGATCTGCCTGCCTCTGCCTCCCAAGTGCTAGGCTCCATTATGACTTCTTAATAAGGTCTTTATTTTTAGTTATTAATCCCCATACACCTTCTATTGTACTATCCTCCCATTCCCCACCCCAGTTAACCCTTCCTGTTCTATTATTCCTTTTGCCCCAAGTGTTTTATTTTATAGTCTTTCATATCTTAGAAGTCATTATGTGATATATTTGTCTAATAACACTGCCTCCTTGCAATTTTAATACCAAAGATAGACTGTATATCTTGAAGTTGTATAACCATCAGGCTTTGATTCACTCAGCTACAGTCTAATAAGATAGTGATCCCTAAGAAGTCACCACAGAATCAAGAGCATAGCATCAGTGCGTCAGCTAGGAGTATGTTGAATATAAAAACCCCAGCCTGACCCAAACTTTCAAAATGAGAAGAGCAGGTAGGTTCTCTTGTGTTCAGACTCTGGACGCTGCATTCCTGAGAGGTAGTCCCCCACTGAGCACATTCCTATAGGCAGCAGTCTTTCCTTTTTTACTGGCTCAGGCAATGTGATTTATCACCTTCTACCACAGAACCCTTCCTCCCAGCCTCCCTCTCTAGACACCCCACCAAGAGCCTACCTGGCTTCCACAGGTGCAGGAAAGGACTCTGCAGTGGCCTCCACCTTGTATATTTTTGCTACACACTCAACATACTGGCTCTGAAATATCGACAAAGGCCTGGGTATCCCTGAAACAATGAGTGAAAGAATAAAATCAGTAAATATTCACATTCTCTGTAAATGGGCGACCTACATACCCAATTTGTTGGCAGAGTTAATTTCAGAAGAGAAGGAAGATGGTTGTTGCCAGGAGAGCTGCGCTTTCCTCTCTTCAAATGTTCCTTTATAATGCTCATGACTATGCTGTTGCAAAGAGAAGTTTCTCGAGCTTTCTTCCCCCTACCTACTATTCCAGACATGTGCTTGCACAGATCGACTCACCCACTGTATTGATTTTTTTTTTCTAGTTCAGATACATGCAGCAGGTTAACAAAGAAAAGTATTTTCATATGCTACTTAATCAAAAAGAGAGATTACTCTGCAAAAATAAAGGTATAAGGAGACCAGAATGCTTTAGAGTTGAGAACCTCACACATCACTGACTATACAACATTTAATAAATAAGATTTGAGGAAAAAACTATTTTGCAGTGCTGGAGAATGAACCCAGGACCTCACATGAGGTAGAAGTGTGCTACCACTGGGCTATATCCACAACTGGAATTAGTTTATGATACCTTGACCTACAAAATTTGTTATCACAGTTCAAATTCAAGACTCCCCAAAGTTAACAGTTAATATCTGAAACTCAGCTTTAGAAAGAGAGAGAGAGAGAGAGAGAGAGAGAGAGAGAGAGAGAGAGAGAGGAGCCAGGCATGGTGGTGCATGCCTGTAGTCCCAGCATGCGGGAGGCAGAAGAAGGTGGATCTCTGTGAGTTCAAGGGCAACCTGGTATACATAGTGAGCCCCAGGCCAGCTGGGACAACAGGGAGACCCTGTTTCTAAAAGAACAACAACAACAAAAAAGAGGACTGGAAGGATGGCTTAGTGGCTAGGAGCACTGGCTGCTCTTGCAGAGGACTCAGGCTGGATTCCCAAACCCACATGACAGCTAAAAACTGATGTAACTCCAGTTCCAGGTAATCCAGAGCCCCTCTTCTGACCTCCACGGGCATTGCACAACATGTGTGAACTTACATACATGCAGGCAATATACTCATACACATAAAATAAAAATAATAAATAAAAATAAATATACTTCATGTAAACTTATACATTATAACTGTTTAGCACATATAATTAAATAGAAGATAAAGTCTTGTATAGAGTAGCCAACATTTTTCAAATTTTGTTTCCCTGTTCTTTTGTTTTAGATGGAACTTGCTAAAGAAGAAAAATGTGAATTTTTGCCATTCCTATCCCCAAAGAAGGTTATAGTCAAAGGTGGGAAAATTGTGGCCATGCAGTTTGTTCGGACAGAGCAAGATGAGGCTGGAAACTGGATTGAAGATGAAAATCAAATAGTGCGCCTGAAAGCCGATGTGGTCATCAGTGCCTTCGGCTCCATCCTGAGTGATCCAAAAGGTATGGAATGGAGCTGATGTGTGTGATTTGTGGTGTGTTATTTTATTGTCTGGTAGTTTCCCGTTCCCAGGGAATTGTTTTTCACTCTAACATTCATTTCCCTTTGCTAGTAGGGACTGTGAGCAATCTTGATTTAAAATACTTAGAATGTGCTATAAACAAGTATAAAGAATTATTTTAAAATGGAGAAAACTGAAAAGAACATGAATCTTTATTTTAAGCTGATATTCAAAATACATATTCTACTTTATAAAATATTTTCCTTGTTCTGCAAAAGGCTAGCTTTTTCTTTTATTAAACTAGCATAACAAAGTATGGCTGAGAAGTTGGGTCATCCGGTCTTTAAGGATGCAAAGAAATTAGGGTCTAATTAAAAACCCAAATATAGAATTTGTGTTTATTACCTTATTCCCATCCTTCTGCCTAACCATCTCTCTGAACAGCAATACTGTCACTTTAGAAGCTTGAACTCTTGCCATTTCATTTGAATGCATAATGGATGTGCTGAGGAAGAATAAAATGCTTAGAATATCACTGGATAGGCAATGTTTTATGTAGCATTTCAACCTCATGGCTGAGTCAGTCCACTAAGCCTGCCTTGTGTTATGCCCCTCCCATTTTAGTGTCATTGCAAAGGAAGGCTAAAATACCTAGCTACCTTCCTTGAGCAAATCGTTACCTTTCAATTTACAGAGTTGAAATGGCAATTAACTCTTATTTTCAGAAAAGGAAATCAAAAGACCTTTCTGTAGTACAAAGATTCACTAAGAAAAATAATAAAAGAAAATTCACACCTGACACTCCCTGCCTCTGATTCCCACTGTATCCATGTGAAAGCTGCGCTTGTGTCTGAAGTAGGAAGAGATGTATGCATGCAAATGTGTATTTTTATGCAACAGACAAGTAAATATTCAAGAAGACACTGGAATATTTTATCTGCAGGACATCCAACATCTTGGTATTTAGAAACAGCCAGATGTTTAATGTCATCAAGATAAATGTTTTCAAATAGCCGAATGATGGCCTAAATTTGTCACTTTCTATCTAGATGTGTGTATGAAATGTAGACACAGTCACAGTGTGCTTTGTGTGTTCATTAACCAAGTTTAGCAAGAGAAAGTAACAATGTGTAAATTATGTTCCATTATCTAAAATATACTGGTCTCTGCAAAACTGAGTAAGATGTCGGAGGAGGTTTAACTAGCAATTCTGCTGCTGATTCACATTTGAAAATCAAATGTCTCTTACCTCTTTAAATCTGCATTCCATAACTGGCAGGCTAATATTAAGAAAAAAAATATCATTTTCTGAACAAGACAGAGTAGTTGTGACTCAGAACACAGAGAATAGCTTTTGTAATTTCTGATTTTTTAAAGCTAATGTTTGTGTGTGTGTGTGTGTGTGTGTGTGTGTGTTTGTGTGTATGTGTGTGTGTGTGTGTTATAATTGCTGTTGGGTTTCTTGTGTAAGACAGGTTCTCAGTGTGTAACCCCTGTTCCGATACAAACATGTAACCACCAGGTCCAGTTCTTATGAGTAGATATGTGTGTATTTATGTACATGTATGTTAAGAGTGAGAAATTTAGCTTAGTATTTAATATGTGAAGTAGAAGAATTTGAAGTATGTACACTTATTTGACAACTATTCTAGAATTTATGCCTTTTGTTAACCATGCCCACCTCTTCCAGTACCTCATATGGACTTCCCACTTACAGTTAGAATAGCCAAGAACAATGTGGCATTTCACTAGGATGTCTTTCTCACATCTTCATTTGAAACAAACATACAAATGAAATGCCTAGAGTTCGCATCCTAAAGTAGATTCCGCCATTACACCAGGGCTTCTTAGGGTTTGCACAAACAAGGTGTTACTTTCCAAGCGAGTAGGAAGCTGGGATAGCTCTACTGTTAAACAGTATTCCTGCTCCTAATTCTGTTAAACCAGTGGTCAGTGTCTGGAGCAGGTGTTCCCAGATTCTTGATGTCTTATTCAAAGATTGAAATAAAGGTGCAGAGTGATTTTCAAAGTAGCAAAGATACTTTATTCAAAAGCAAAGCAATAGATAGTACAGACCAGAAATATCCTAGAAGGGTGCATGGGAGCCACTTGAAAAGGATGTACTCAAGGGCTCTGATTATTATTTGGGGCATCCATTTATGGGATTCAAGAGTTGAAGGTTAGGTGCCAAAAGGCTTAGTGCAGATGGTTCTCTGTTTTGATTGACAAGCTTAGGTTATGTAAATTTTTCTCTACTGCGCATGTCCTTTCCCATAATGCATATGCATTTAATCATATGCACACCCAATTATGCATAGGCACAAGATGGTAAATAAGGGATTGTCCAAGCAGGCTGTTAGCTGCCTGGTTAGGAGAGGGCCTTGTATGCATAGTTCAGGCAGGGAGGGATCCTACATTACCAGTGTACTGTTAGGAGTGTGTACATAGCCCAAACCAAGTAGAGCCTGGGGCTGTTAAGCTGCTCAGTCAGAAGTCCTGGACATGCACAGACATACGTTAGATGTGTTGGAAACCAGTTTACTGGAAGCATGCTGCATTTTTGGATAAGAGAAGATAATCATGTTCTCCCACTTATTCCTAAAAGTTTGCCTCCTACTAATGTCTAGAGGGTGTGATTTCTGATTCTCTGTCATTGTCACATGTGATACCCATTTTAAGGCCTCTCTCAACAGCTGTGTCTCAAAATGTTAGTCTCTGTTTCCAATGTCCCTCTTCCCTCCTTTCCAAATTCACTTTGCATAGACCCAGTAAGTCCATGCCAGACACAGTGACATTCTTTGCACTCCTGATTCGGTTTTCTCCATTTGACAGTGTTAAATATTTCTGTTTGAAATGCACCTCTTCAAGTCACTTAACTTTTCTAAGGCTCAGCTCTTCATCTATCAAAACAACAACAAAAGCAAGCATAATAAAACCTTCTCTCCCTATGCTCAACACTGTTGTCAAAAAGAAAATGGAATAATGCAAAGAAAACTGTAACATGTTGTTATTGTTTATGTCACTCTTAGTTCTTAGATATTTCTGGTAGTTATTTGTTTATAAGCCGACACATTCCCTCCTCTTGCTATTACTTTATAACACTTTCCAAAGCTCAGAGATTGCCTGTTCTCTCATTTTAGTATATTTATTCACTCACTGAGCTGTTTCTGTCATGGGAATGCATTCATTCCCCAAACATATACATGATCTTTTGTGTATTGGGTAGTGACCAAATGTACAGTATTTGCCTCTTCACTGCTGTGCAGAGTGAGTCCAAAATCTAGTTCTTTACTTTCCACATCTTAGAATGCTTCTTTTTTCTCATACTTATTTCATACAGGTGAAAATATTTACCCTGCATCTAGTGATAGTCAGGAGCCAAGTTGTGCTCTGAGGCGAACACTGAAAAGGTCACAGATGGCAGTGGAAACAAACCTAAATATCACTAAATGTAGCACAAAGTAGAGACTACATTGAGAAGATGCAGAGAGCTGAAGAGCTCTCTTCCCATCTTTCCCTAGCAAATCCTTTCTTTATTATTATGTACTTGGAACAAAACTCTCCCCATTGACAAAACAATGTTACCCCAGCTTCAAATTTGCCATTCCAGTTTTACCTCTGAGTGAATTAATCAATATTACCTCATGCTATAGGGCAGATACATATCTTAAAGCTGGTTAAAAATTAGTGAATTATCTAGTATATGAAATGAATCCAGCTTTATTTCTAATCGATCCCTTTTGAACTGTTTCTCCCTGTATATCACTCATGTGTATTAAATAATGGTAACGCAGAAGATAGTTGATCAATGTAATTACTACCAAAATTCCATGACATTGTTCACCAAACTAGAAAATAAAACAATTCTAAAATTCATATGGAGGCAGAAAAAGACAAACTCTTAGTATCTCAAATGCCATTGAATTTATAAAAAATTTCCAAAAGCTAAGCACTAATAATAAAATTATATAATCAAGTCCATAGATGGTCAATGAATTGAAAACATAGCTCTCAAAAGAACAAAGTTCTAATGAACAGTAGATATTTGAAAAAAATTCAACATCCTTAACCATCAGCAAAATACAAAATCAAATTACATTGATATCTCTTCACACCCAAATCACAATAGCTATTGTCAAGGAAACAAACATCAGATACTGGCAAGGACCTATGGAAAGAGGAGCCTTCATACACTGCTGCTGGTGCAGTCACTATGGCAATCAGTATGAAAGTTTCTCGGGCCTGGAGAGATGGCTCAGTGGTTAAGAACACTGGTTGTTCATGCAGAAAACCTGGGTTCAAATCCCAGCACCCACATGGCAGCTAACAACTGTCCATAACTCCAGTCCCAGGGGATCTGACAGCCTCTTCTGACCTCCACGGACATTGCACAACACGGGTGCACTTACCTACATGTAGGCAATACACGCATACACGTAAAATAAAAATAATAAATACAATTTTTTTAAAGTTTAAAAAAAAAGAAAGTTTCTCAAAAAATAACACTGCCGTATGATCTAGCTGTAGCATTCCAGAATATATACCAGAAAGAATCTTTGTCAAGCCTAACATAGATGTTCTTGCAGAAGAGCTGGATTTGGATTCCAGCACCCACATGGCAGCTCACAACCATCTCTAACTCCAGTTCCAGGAGATCTGATGCTTTCTTCTGTCCTCCAAGGGCACTGCACAACATGAGTACACTTATACACATGCAGGTATAACACTCATACACATAAAATAAAAATAAATAAGTTAATTAAAAATGATTCAGCAACTTATAGAAATAATAAGCATATCATTCATGAAATAAAATTGAATAATATCCTTGAATTGCAGTAATAAATCTTTTGTTGCTACTAAGACTAAAAACGATTAAGACTAATCATCATGGCTTTTCTAATTATAGCCAATTTTTTTGCCTGTTTTGTATTATGACAATGAATAAGAAATAGGAAGGAAAGACCACACGTTGCTGCCCTGCACTTGCAATACATGTGT